TGCGCCTGGTTGTCTTTCAGTGTCGGCACTTCGTTGTCCAGTTCACCGGTGAAATATCACCTTCACGGTGTTTGCTGTTAGGTTTGTGCAGCGCCCTCAACTGTGGACTTTAAGACTGCTTTGCAGCCTGTGAGAAGACGACTGAGAAGCGATCACCTTCTTCCAGGTTTTTTTTTTGAACTCTGCCATCATTACTAATTGTCCGAGCCTCTGCTCTGGAGACGTTGTAATCTGCGTCGTCGTATCTCACCGTGGTCCAATTCTTCAGAACCCCCTTCTTCGTACTCGGGAATGAGTTCCCCTTCAGTGGGTGGGGTGAAACCGCTGGCTCCATCCAGACTTGTCAGGTCTGCAAGGAAAAGGTTTCATCGCTTATGACTGTTGAAAGCTAGATAGACATTCACCTTTTTGGCACAGACAATAGGATTATGCGGTACGGTGACTTACATTACACCTGTCACTGCACAAGTAGCAAATACAACTTTGGTCCAAGGACACAAGACCACCTCGAAGTTCTCTCACTGCAACTTTGACTTTGACAAAAAATGTGGAAATTCTAATCTTCGCATGACTTTGTACAGTGCTTTTCAATGGCACGCGTCGGAAGTGAAATACGACAAAATCAGCTGATTTGGGGAAAAGTTGCATGCCTGTAACCAGTCAAAAATACTGAATAGAATTTTATGTTGTTTTTTGGGGGGGTTAACCCCACAGTGCAAAAAAAGAATCTAAAACCACTCGTCTCATTTTATTTACCTGCTGAGGAATCCTTGTCTTTCTTCAATGTTGGCACTGTGCCAGCAGAAACCTTGGGGGTGGCCCCTGAATCAGCACTATCCGTGGTCGTTGTGCTGTCTGGTGCAGAGGCGGCAGATGTCATGGGAGTTGTGCTAGTTGCGGGAGATGTGTAGCCATAGAGACTGGTCGATGGTGGGGGTGGTGGTATGCTGGCGAGGACAAAATAATCATACAATCAAATCAAACGTACCTCTGAGCAACTCTTTGCAGGTCCATCAAAAACTCAATGATGAGTAGCATTATTAATGATGCACTTCTGAGTACTTGTGAAGACTTCTGAGTACTGGTGCAGACTTCTGAGTACTTGTGCAGACTTCCGAGAACTTATGAATACTTCTGAGTACTGGTGCAGACTTCCGAGAACTTAAGAATACTTCTGAGTACTTGTGAAGACTTCCGAGAACTTAAGAATACTTCTGAGTACTTGTGAAGACTTCTGAGCACTTGTGAATACTTCTGAGTACTTGTACAGGCTTCTGAGTACTTGTGAATACTTCTGAGTACTTGTAAATACTTCTGAGTCCTTGTGCAGACTTATGAGTACTCATAAATACTTATGAGATTGTGTGAAAACTTGTGAGAGCTGGTAAATCCTTGTGAAAACTGGAGTACATGGAAAAACTCAACTGGAACCCAAAATAGCTCCGCAAAGCATTACTCACCCCAGCTCACCAACGACACTCATGTACTGCTGTATCTGCACCATGGCAGCATCCAGCAATGTGTGGATGCCACGTAGGCACTCAATCCTTGCCTCTAGGTGCTGGCGCTCTGTGCCCTCCATGGCACGCAGCTCCTCCTCAGTCAGACCGGCAAAGTCTGGCGGCGGCATAGGGGGTGGGGTGGCTGTGAGGAAGCAACACATGAAAATGGACAAACCTCAATCGGAAGGCCTGGAATTTGTGGAATCAATCTCTCCTCCCCAAGGTAAAGTACACGGCCACCTGACTTGGAGAAGAAACTGTAGATAGTGTGGAGCTTTTATACCAGGGGCTAGCAACAGACGAGCTCTGCGTCAGCAACAGTTTATGCGCTATGCAGTCTTCTAGGTGACCTTTCACTGACAAGAGCATCAACCCTTATTACACCAATATTCCATCCAGGCACTTGGCTTTGCAGTGCCATGATGGATTCCAAACTGTGCAAACCAAACACAATTGCTTCACAAGGGAGTGTTCAATATACATCCCAATAAGCCTTTTGCGGATTACCTTTGACCCAAACCTGGTACACTGAGTTCTTTAAATTCACGTGAATATAACAATTTGAATTCTCCTTACTAAAACCACTGTTGCTATACCTCGTGATTTGGGGCAAGCTTTTGCTCAGTTACATAAGAGACGCCTTGTAACAATACGGTGTTCTTAATGGATAACAAGGGCACAAAGGAACCAGTCCATTCCAGATGTGGTGGTCGCTATGCGAAAGCTTGCCCCGAATCACGACGTATAGCAACAGCGTCTTTAGTCTGAGGAATTCAAATCGTAATGTTTATGTGCAGTCAGATAACTCAGTGCTACAGATTTTATTCAAATTTAACTCACATATGGCTGATTACGTCTCATTACAAAGAATGGGGGCCTTTCCTTAAGTGCATAATGCTGGATTTCAAGAAATCAATCATTGAAATCAATAATTAAAAAAAAAATGCAGAGAGGTTGGAAGAGTCATTTTTGTTTGATGCCTCCAAGGTCAGAGAATGCGTGGAATAAAGATATATTAGTAGGTATTTATGGCCGGACCACCTCTTTTGATTTTTCCTTACTCGAAATAAAACGCGGAAAAAAATGAATAAAAAAAATGATGGAAATACAGCTTACCAAAGGGAGGCATCATGAAGAACGGAGGTGGAGGCATCATGAAGGGAAAAGGGGGTACTAATGAAGAGGGGTCCGAGCTACTTGTTGCACTGGCGGCAGCTCCGTCGGTTGAGCCAGCTGGGAAGGCAACAATAAAGAAAAACCTCGTGAGAAAACTGGGCATGGATGCAATTTATTTTGAATTTGTACTGTTATTTTCAACTGTATTCCCACAGTGGGTTGAGACAAGGCAAGTGAAACGAATCGGTGAAAAGAAACAACCCAGCGGGTGTATTCTTCATAACTGGACATGGCTCTCTCTCTCTCTCTGTCAGAGTCCAGCGGAGTTGTGAAACTGTGACAAGACAACAAGGCCCTCGGCAGCTGAGACACTCTGTCACTGGAACGCAGTGCAAGAACACTTCAATTTGGGTGAAAACATGAAACATCCTTCAAAAGCAGGGAGGGGGCCTAACATTGTCTATTCCCTCAAGTCCACGTTGCAGTTGATAAACTTGACCAACCTCAACTGCCAAAATTCCACTTCAGGTTAAAACTGCAGTATGATGATGATTTCAGAGCTACAAAAGCCCACCCTTAACAATTCACGAGGAATCTGACATGCTTTCTGATTATAACAAATCTGCCAAAAAGGATATACTGAATGGTGGTGGACAAAATAAGGAAGTTTTTTAATGCACTTGTGAACTTGCATTGTTAGCTACATGCAAATTTGGAGCAGAATTGGTTTTGAAGCGCACCCCTGTGTCCGACGAATGTACATCGTGGTGATATGAGACATATTTTTTTACCAGCTGGTTGGGTTGTTGAGGCGCTGGAATCCCCAGTTTGTTGGCTTGCAGCGGGTGGTGTGGCAGGCACAGTGCCTCCCTGGGCCTGGGCTGGTTGCTGGCTGGCTGCAGGAGCACCTGCCGCTTGCTGCTGCTGTTGTAGCTGTTGGTTGGGCAGTTGGGCCCCAGGGTGGAACTGGGGCATCCAGAAAGGATAGCCAGGAAATGGAGGCATCATACCGGGCACTGGAACAGAAATTTGCGAGTACTCCACACTTGAACAATACGGTACATAATTTTCCGATAAGCCTTCTATACAATCATTCTATTGCAATTTCGTCATTATAGATATGTTTTCACTCGAATTCTATTCTTATTTCAGCTACATTCTTGCCAAAATGGGCAATTTATGTCTACTCCAACTGAATTACATCTGAGCCAAATTTTTGGCCGTGTTTTGGACAGAATTTACCAGCTGAAATTGAGGGTAGGTGATCTCTGTAGACATTTTAAGAGGAGTTTAAGGTAAAGAAGTCTGCAGTAGCACCATGCAAGAATCTCTCTTTGAGTACATCTGGTTCAGAAAGAATTGCAGGGTACTCAACGTTTCGGACAAGTATCCGTTGTCAGGAGACTGCCAAGAGTTTTGTAGCAATGAAAATAATGATATTTAGCCACATTTAGTTGTCACGAAGAACAATGCTCTATCATCTGATCATGGATAAAAACTCTTTTTACTTGGCTAAAAGGATGAACTTTTCTGCACTATAAAAACCTCTCAATCCATGAGTGTGCAATAACTGGATTTGATTCAGGATGGGCACCTTTAAATGGTTATCTCGTGCACCAAGTAACCAACAGGAGACTAGACTCACTCTGTGGTTGCTGCTGCTGCTGTTGTGGTTGCTGCTGATTGACCTGGACCCGGACCGTAGCCGCCGGTGCTCGTAGCACGTCCATACGGCAGGTTGGGCAGGTCTGCTGGCGCTGGAACCAAGAGCGCAGGCAGGCCGTGTGGAAGATGTGGCCGCAGGGTAGCTTCTTGCAGCCTGTCACCATCTCCTCCCGGCAGATGATGCAGACATTGTCGGCGGAGGCCAAGTCCTCGGCTGTGGCGTCTGGATAACTGTCAAAAACACAAAATTTGGTGATAAAGGATATTTACAAAGCACACATAAACACCATTACTGGTGCTCTAGGCTCTACGTCATTATTAACCCTGCTCATCGGGCCTGTAGACATTCCTAAAGACCATCTGTACTGCTTAATGCAGCCATTTCAGGCGCAAATGGCTAATCAAACCAAATAACCACCTCTGTCCTCAAAAATATTTCTACCCCTGGGAAGAGAGAGGCAAACCTGAGTAAAGTCACTTGCCCAAGGTCACAACATGGGACCGGCTACTAGATTTGAACCTGCGACGCTACGTGTATAATCCGGAGGTCCAAATCCTAACAACCAGGCCACACGTACCCTACATGGTAGGTGGAAACAGAATTTTCAATTTTAAATCTTAATTCATGTCTCCATGCTGAAAAGTAATTATTGTTTCTTCTTGCTATCGGGCTACCATACTAAATCACTCCTACAAAGTTCCTGATTCTAGAAGCTGACCAACACTGGGTTGAGGCTGCGCAATATTTGGAATGAAAAGCCAACAAGGCATGCACCACTACTTTTGCAAACCTGCCATCTGATTACTACATAACAATTGATGCGGCAGAGTCGTCCAAGGTTCTCGCACTAATGATAAAGAGGTTTGGGTGAATGAACATTTACTCACAGCGTGTTCATATTTCTGATGGCTCTCCTTGACATGATGACATCGTTCACTGCTTTTTTGAAGGATCTGTTGAGGAAGCATTATCAGAATATTTACGTAAGCATCAGGCCGAAAAAGAACTGCTTCAGTGGAAACCAAGATCAACGCAGCAGTGCCCAATTCAAATCCTATGATAAACACCTGTAGGACGAATGCCAACTTGTGGAGAAGCAAAACTCTGGTTCGCTTTTGGAAACGAATAGCAGAACCCAATATGTGCAAAGGTAAACGTAACACTTGGATTTGACTGTCCCTAAAACCGTATTGCTCTCCCATGCAAGCTTACAATAACATTAAACTTCAGAATTTTGACCTAGTAAACAGATTTCTCAATCCTCTGAAATCCTCAGGAGGTTTTGAAGGATTGAGGCTGCAGGGCAGAACTGCCTTGCTGATTGCGAAAGTTGCATAGTCTCAAGGATGTGGGTTCGACCTTGTGTTATGTTCAGCCATGCATAAATTCATGCCCACATTATATGTGAAATTCTGCATACTGCTCCAGGATGCCATTCACGCTGCCTCAATGTAATGAGAGGAAATGCTAGAGGATTTTGAAGGATTGAGGATGTATCCTATCCAAAAGGGCATCGGCAGTTAGGGTTGATAAGAGTAAGTCCCAACACATGTTTGGCAGTATTACCTCATAGCCAAGTACATCGGTCGTATAGCAAAGAGTGGGAATGTGTGGACTTTGATCATGATGGCAAGGAAAACGGTGTACAGCATCACCTTCACAAAACCTGCAGGGATAACACAAACGGGTTCATGTACATGACATAAAGCAGATTGGCAATAGAGGGCTAGGTCACATAACATGGGTAGGGTTATGGACTGAAATGTTTTTCTGTGTTGCTGCCCTGCAGATCCTTTGATCTGCCCCAGAATAACTCTCAGAATCACACTCCATGTCCTCTTGTACAGTGACTATGCTTCTGGCCAACAATGAAAATGGTATTGAGATGAATCACCAACTATACGTTTTATATTGTATTATGAAATGTATGAGTACTTGCTTCGGTTCTTCATCAGTGAGATTCAATTGGTTTATACAGCAAGTGGGTGTGTCTAAATTACCTAATGGGAAAGTCTGCATTCTGATTGGCTGACGCATTTAATGTAGTTTGGGCAATAATGTGAAGGCCTAACAGGGACTGTTGTGGCCTATAAAAGGCAGTGCATGGAGATTAAAACAGCACTTCCAGAAGTGATCCTAAAAAGACGGAAGTGGGGACAGAACGTAAGTCTAAACAGTTTCACTGTGTGCATTTTCTTATTGTCCAGTCTGTCCGTCCAATCCACAGGTACATCC